GTATATCTCATTCAAAATTAAAATTTATTTTTGTAATTATGTCGCATTATGTTTTATTAAAGAAGAAATGAATGATTATAGTTTTCGTACTCTCTGTTTATGCTAGTAGCGTAACCAGGCGCCGTCCCATATAAATTTATCGTTTGCAATATTTGCAACTTTTCTCAGACACAATCGAGTGGCTCAATTTTAGTTTCGGAAAGATAAATGTAACAATAAATTGTTCATCTAATTAACTGAAGTTAGACAATATTATCAGTTGGGTGTAAAGTACTCACTGTTACTAACATTGAACGATCAACCGAGTGTAATATTAAGTATAAAGGTTCGAGAAGTAGCTTGAATATAGCTTTCATTTTACTGAAAAAATCTTTTCATTGTGGTTAATAATGACGGAATTGTTATGATACTGAAAAGATATGATGAAATACTTTGGGATAAAGATCCATCTTAGCTTCTGGTTTTAGTGCTTGAACTGCATTGTTTAACAACTGAATATTGTGTTGTAAAACCATTTATAAAGCTTTGAAACTTTAATCTCTTCGAAATATTAAACTATCAAGTGATAATAATTATGAAATATCATGAACAATATCTGTATTTATTTAAAAAAAAAACAGTTATTAATTCTAATAAAAGAGAACCATTATTAACTTTTCCTATGACTTTGTTTACATTGCCGATTATTTAAAAACAATATAGGGAAATTAGACCTTATTGTTATTCACATATAGAATATAATGTCGTAATTTGCACTAAGATAGTCTGAATGGTTCTTATTACACTTTTATTTTTACCGGTGGCCGAACATAAACAATGAGTGGTGGCGCGATGCCCGGTCCAGTCCACCCCGCGCTATGCCCCAAACAACAACAAAACTGCTCTGCGTATGCTTAATTTTATTTTTCATTCAAAAATAATCACAATGGAATATTCATATGTTAATATTTTTCTATCTTTAAACGATTTGCTGAACGTGCTTATGGATATACTACAGTTAATGTCTATTGAAAAAAAATTAGATAAAAATAAATAAATTATTTCAACGAGTAAATCAAAAGAAGGTACCGTATTCGATTTTAGAGCGTCAATAAAATCCTTGAAACCATTATTACTAATTTTGTTCGTACCAAGAATCAGTGTTTTTAATGTCTATAAGTGTTTAATATTGTATAATATGATTACACCTCTAAAATGATTACATACCAAATTATTTACTAGTGCTGAAGCAAGATCTTCTATGCCATCATCACCTATGATATTCTTCTGGTAACATAGTTTCGTTAGTACCTGTATATAGAAAATGGTTAAAAATGAGAAAATAAAGAAATGAATCACTTACTGAGTTTCTTCGCAACATATTAGCCAAATAAATTGTCAATTCAGATTTAATACCATTGTTTATTAAAGTTAATGAAGTAATTGTCTACATATACATAAGTATTTTACAGTAAATATCCTTTCTCTACATATATTACTGGATGATATGATACAGCATGGCAAAGATATATAAGTCCATCTTCAACAATTGTTTGATTTATTACTTCCAGTGTTGTTAGTGTCTAATTATAAATTGAAAAAAGACATTTTGACAAGTGATACTTTACTTGATTAGTTTGTATTCTATAAACTAAATCAACACACAAGGAAGGCTTGAATGACTTGTCGCCCAAACGTAATAATTCTAATGTCTGTTCAAGAATAACATAATAAATATGCGTGATATGACATGAAATAAGTTCTAACTGTGTTGTTTTTTAACTCATTCATCAAATATTTAATTCCCACTCGTCCAAGTTTATCAGCATCTATGTTCAATATTTTGAGTGTCTATTTGTTAATTGAAAAAAAATTGTATATCGACAAAGAAAGTTACTGTATTGTTGTGCAAAGCGTTAGCGATTTGTTGTGCACCGGCTGGTCCGAAGCATTTGTTTGGTGCAAGCTTAAGCTTAAGTTCAGTTGATGTCTACATACAGTAGACGGCATGGTTCTTTCTGAACATTTTATCTATAACGAAAGATGTTACTGTATCAAAGCGTATCGCATGTGCCACAATCAGAGCTTCTAGATAAGTATTTAGATTTCCTGTTAGATCCGGATCAGAGGGTAACTAGAGGTGAAAAAGAAGAACACTTTTTTCTATTAAAGAATAATAAATCGCGTTAATATGGATTATTACTTTGCTGTTATGTAAAAGAGAAGCCATGTTGTCTGATTTAACACGCGATTCTTGTGAAAACCAAGACTCGCCAAGTAGTAATACAATTAGTGTTTGTGTCTAGATTGAAAACTAAGTAATCTATACTATTAAATTAAAAATAAAAAACCCGTTTTTCACTCAAAGCACTAGTTAAACAGTTAACTCCGGCAACTCCAATAGAATTGTTGGTAAGGTCGAGAAAATCCAATGTCTACAAAAAGAAACTAACAAAATGTTCATAAAAGCAATCTTATCAGAATTAGAATCACATTATTTTCTCGTAAGGCATCGGCGAGATATTTTGTTCCTTGAGTTCCAATGCCACAGCTGGATGCTTCTAGTTTTTTAATTGTCTAAATATAGTAAAATGTTTTAAATGTAATGAAATATGTCAGTGTCAATATAACTATATTCCTTCGTAGACCATCAGCAATGATTTTAGCTCCATCATCACAAATTTGAATTCCCCATAATACGATGACTGTTATTAACTGCAAACCAATAAGTCAATGTACGAAAATTTCATGCAATATTACTGGTGAATTTTTTCATGCGTATGTAGACTCCAACAGCTTCTGCAGATCCAGACTTGTTTCCCTGTGAATTCAACTCAGTAAGAACCTACTCATAAAGAAATATAATCATAAAAACTAAACAAAAGTAGACTGATGAAAGAACTACCGTATTCGATTGCAGTTCATCAACTAGACATTCCGCACCACGAGTACTGATTCTATTTCGGGCAAGATTAAGTGTTGTGATAGTCTGTATACATATATAGTTATTTATTGATTTATTTCACGAGGAAGACATGCGAATGATAATTACTCTATTATTTCGTAGAGCTACAGCAAGATATTGTACACCATCATCTTGAATATGATTTTCTGCAATGCTAATTTTTTCGATAATCACAGTATTATTTTGCAATAATTGAGCTAAGAACTTTGCACCATTATCTCCAATTCCATTTTGATCGATATTTATTTTCTTCAATGTCTGAATAAAAGAAATCCTAATGTTATACCTCAAAATGTAATTATAATACTGTATTTTTCTGAAGTGCTTCACAAATTAATTGCATTCCTTTATCTCCTATGTTATTATATGCCAAGTTCACCATAGTAAGTGTCTATATATTGATGATAAAAGTGAAATAAAGATACAATAAGAATAACTGACTGTATTGTTTTCCAACAACTGAGCTATAAGATGAACTCCTTTTTCTCCGATATAACTTCTGTCAATAGTTAATTTAGTAAGTGTCTATAATCATCAAACATAGTAAAAATTTTCTAACAAATCATGCAAATAAAAAGCTGATATATACATAATTGTTCTGCAGTGTTTGTACGAGATATTGGATACCAGTATCTTTGATTTGATTACGACCAATATTTAATTCATTAAGAGTCTATATTATTGTAAAATATGAAATTACTAGGATTTAAACTGAATTACTGTATCATTTGCGAGCAAGACTGATACATATTGTGCACCTTCTTCATCCATATGCGTATCAGATAGATTCAATGCAGTAAGTGCCTATGAGTTCTAAGAATATTGCATATATTAAAAATATCAAAATTACCTTGCTATTTTTTAATCCATCGACGATCAATGTTATACCTATATTTTTTATTTTATTTGTGCTTAAATCTAATTTGACAAGAGTCTATATTATATTTTGATGAAGAAAAATATTG